GAATAAATTAAAGTTTTCTACACTCCTAGACACTATAATTGCACAAAAATTGTTTATAAATGCAAAAAAGTGCATTTAGCATATGTCTCCTTTAAACGTTTAAATGTCTAATATTTCCATGTCACTTTAGAAAAAAAATCTCATTCCATTCCATTTGGGGGTTAGAATCTAATTTCGATGCATCATAATGTAAAAAGATGTTTAAAATGTTTTACCGTTCAATAGATAACATTGAGGAGTATCAAAGTTTACACAGCAGAGAGAAAACAAAAGGATCAGCAGCACCTTCTGCATTGAAAGCCAGTGTACAGAATTATTTCAGCTTCTAGAAGTTAAATGTTTCTGAGAAAAGCCTCAGTATACATTATGTACAAATTTTAACCTGGAGGATGGAGAGTAAAAAAGCAGCCAGGGACTGCTGCTGATAACCAGACAGCCACTGAACAACATCAAAACATTTTATCCTAAATAAGAGAGCGTGATTTATAAACTCCAATATAACTTTACAACACACTCTACACCAGAACAAAAAACACTGAAGACACATWCTGTATTAAACTCTGCCAAATTGATTTGGAGTCAGCAATTGCAAATTGCACAATTCATTTATTTGAAAATAATAACAAAATGATCTGTGAATACCTGTGTAATGTGACATTACATAAATTACATGAACTAAATGTGAAATTCAATAAAAATTATAAAACATTGTTCAGATAAATAACTGAAAGCCTAATTTGTTTAGGCTGGYTGTTAACTCTTCAGCTCGGTCTGAATCAAACTGAGCGTCTTCAAAGACTTATCTACAGCAGGTAAGACATTGACTGTTCATAACGTTTACACTTCAAAATGACCCAAGTGCCACCTGAAAGTAAACATCCTTCATTAAAAAGCACCACCACCACCAGCAGGTAGTTTTAAGCCCCTCCCACCCCTTACTAAAGCCCAGAAGTTTGCATGCAACCTGAAATCTGACCACCATACAACCTGCAGACAGCGGCACACTCCATGCACTGGACATGGCTACACTTAAGACACCGGTGCAGCGGGGTGGGGGGTGGGGGACGGGAGAGTAGTGATTAAAGAAAAGAAGGAAAAAGAAGGAGAGACCCAGTTAGTGGCAGGACCAGGAGGGACGAGGCAGGCACAGTGACACTGAGTGACAGGAGAGAGAGAGATGCACACCGAGACTGATGGACCCACAGACTTACATCGACTACATCAAACTGGAACACAGGCTGGGACTAGTATCTGGATCATACAGCAGCAAACGTATTGTGGTGTTATTTGTAAATACTGTGAAGTTTGCTGCTGTAAAGTTACAAAATGTGGACAAATTTGATAATTTTTTTGAGGTGCTGTTGGTAAAAAGCATCTTAATGAGCTTAGAGCTGCTCAACATAAAACTCACTGAACTACACATGACATAATAATGACCTTTATGTTGAGCAGCTCTAAGCATCTATATGAGCTTAGAGCTGCTCAACATAAAGGTCATTATTATGTCATGTGTAGTTCAGTGAGTTTCGGACCTCATCATACTTTAAATAAGAAAATTTATGTGAAATAAAACTGTGATTTAAGATGTAAAACTGACCAATCAGATGGTTGAAGATCAGGAGAATGTATCCAGATACAGATCACAGTGTGGCAGACCAGATTTTACTGCTTTCTTAGGTTATTCTTAGTTTTATGTGAATTGAAACAAATTTTCCCACAACATTTAGACAGTTGTTAGCCCGGTTCTTCTCTTCATTTCCTGACACAAAACTAAAACCTTGCATAAACACTGCAGTAGCTGTCTTTGTTTCATTTAGTTCTTTGTATCCAGAGTACCACAAACACAGAGCATGTTGTGAGCCTGACCTCTGAGGAGGCAGGACAGTCAGCTCGTACCTTCGACTGGACGTCAGCGTTGTGGTCATTCTGAAGGAGGAGGGCGGCTGATTTGGTGTCATCCTTACGAGCAGCAATGTGCAATGCAGGCAAGCGCACTTTGCCTTTGGTGTCATTCTCCAATAAGACGGAGACCACCTGGTTGTGTCCCTGCTGAAGGGCAATGGCCAGAGGGGTAAAACCATCCTGRAGGAGGGAAACCACACAGACAACTTAGAGGGAAAAGTTTTTTCTTAAAACAAAAAAGTTAATTTGGTGTCCAAATGGAACTTTTTAAATTAAAAGCACCAGGAGATTAAATATCCCGAGGTCCTCTTGAAGCCTTTTCTTATAAAACTAATCCATCATCTCTTTTAGCTTTCAATAAGTTCTATGGTTTCAGGTAGATTGATTGTGCTGCAGTGTCTGTGTTGTCATACAGGTCACACAGTTCAATTAAATGATGGGAATAACTCAGAATCTGTTAAAGTTAGTTTTTTAAAAGAGTGTTTTCATGTGCATCTCAAAGTAAAATAAGGAATAAACTAATTTCTAGTGTCTATCAAAGCCCCACCCCCACCCCCCAAAAAAAAGAAGAAATGATGTAAAAATAACTATTTTGTTCTCTTTGTGTTTACTGTGCAACACAAGTATTTCCGTGACTAAAGAACACAATAAGAACAGAGGTAAACATCTGGTCACCAGAGTCCAGAAACCAGAAAGCCATCACAGCATCTCAGGATGGAGTTTAGACAATAACTAAAAACAACTTTTTATTTTTACACTGAAGCATGGTTGCTGTCTTGGATGATGTTGTTGACCAAACTGTACAATAAATGTTTGCCTGTGGTCCTATAATGCCCAGAATCTTGTACACTACATGGCCCACTTGCAGCTGAAGTTAAATATCTCATTCTACGGTAATGCCATGACTTTTGGTGGTATAATGGACAGACTGCACTATTTATAGTTTAAAGAAAATCCACAGAGGACCTCTGGCTCCAAATTTGAGACCCCAATCTTGAGTCGGAAAAGGGCAGAGGGAAGACATGCTGCCCAAAGTGGAGGAGTTATGTATCTTGGGGTCTTGTTCATGAATGAGGGAAGAATGGAGCAGGAGTTCAACAGGTGGATTGGTGTTGCATCTGCAGTGATGTGGGCGCTGTACCGGTCCGTCGTGGTGAAGCGAGAGCTGAGCCAGAAGGTAAAGCTCTTGATTTACTGATCGGTCTATGTTCCTACCCTCATCTATGGTCATGAGCTTTGGGTAGTGACCAAAAGCATAAGATTGCGGATACAACAGCCGCTGCTCCTCCACATCAAGAGGAGCCAGTTGAGGTGGTTCATCTGGTTAGGATGCCTCCTGGACGCCTCCCTGGTGAGGCGTTTGGGGCATGTCCCACTGGGAGGAGGTCCAGAGGAAGACCCAGGACACACTGGAGGGACTATGTTTCTCAGCTGGCCTGGGAACACCTTGGGATTCCCCCAGAGGAGCTGGTCCAAGTGGCTGGAGAGAGGGAACTCTGGGTCTCTCTGCTTAGGCTGCTGCCCCCYGAGACCGGACCCCGGATAAGTGGAAGAAAATGGATAGATTTACAAAAKTCCACAGCTATCAGCAGAAACACAACTAAAGTCGACTCACTTCTGTAGCAATGCTCTGGTTGCCTCCATTTTCCAGCAGGTACCGGACCACGTCCATGTGGTTCTCCTGGGCCGCCATGTACAGAGGAGTGAATCCATTCTGGACACAAACACACTGATGGTTCTGAGGGAGCTCCCTACATTTCTACAGTTTTCAAACTAACCACACCCATGCTTGTGGGGATTTGTACCTGAGACTGTGCATTAATGTCTGCGCCTCGTTTGGACAAAATCTTCACCACATCAGCCTGACCCGCCAGAGAGGAGATGTGTAGAGCTGTGTTTCCTTTCTGCATGAAGACAAAGAGCAAATTCAGTCATCAATGATCAATCGTCTTTTCTCTTTACAATCAATTATCTCTGATTGTTCAGGAGCTGAGATATGAGGTAAAAAAGAGCTCAAAACCAAAAGAAAACTAGACACTGCATAGCGGTAACTAATGACCCCCGCACGAACAAATGAACCAGAACCCAGAAGTCTTTATTCCAAATAAATGTGTGTGTGTGTGTGTGTGTGTGTGTGTGTGTGTGTGTGTGTGTGTGTGTGTGTGTGTGTGT